ATTTATTTATCATGAATCATTTTATTTAATAAAGATCTATATAATTCAAGCATTGATTGTAACAAATAATAAAATGGAACAAAAAACATAAAAGCTATACCTTATGTATATTTAAAAAAATTCTATACTGAACACTTCTTAAACTTACCTTGGTTATCCTTAGTTATAAGTTAAATTAATAAGATGAAAATCCATTCTCACCCAGTAGCTGCTTGTTTTCCTAATCCCTTCTGAGATTTGCGAGCACCTCTCAGAGAAGAAACAGGCTCGCTAGTATCACTTTTGTCAGACTGAGTGGTTAAGAACGTCTGCAATAATAATCATAAGCAAAATTCATAAAAACATATCTTTAGTATTAAATTAAATTTGGTATAATTAAAAAATTAAATTACAATTTCTAAATAAATTGCAGAAAATATTTCAACTCTGATTGTATCATTATGAAACTTTTTAAAAATATTAAGGGCAGAAGTATATCAATAGATTTTCATCCTTTTTTCTTATGACTTAAATAGTATGCATATAAATTCATTAAACTAACAAAAGCAACCAATTTATAAGTTACAGATACTGTATTTGCAACATCTGAATCCCTGCTTAACTACATCCTCTAAAAACAAGTAATATATATATAAAAAAAATTGTCAATTCCTACTTAAATCAACAAAGGAAATTTTTATTTTAGTTACTTTTTATTAAGTAAATTACATTTAATACAAATATGTATATACATATGACAGAATCACAATATTAAGTGGCAAAATAGAAAGTATTTTTTTCATTTTCCTTTCTATATATGGCATTGGACTATTTGTTCATTAATTAAATTTAATTATTCTCATAAAATAGTATAGTAAAAAAGAAATCACATTCTCAGAAATTAGGTCATCCCAGGAGGGATTCGAACCCACGACCTTTGGATTAGAAGTACAACACACTGTTCATTGTGCTACAAGGACACAATGAGCGATTTTCCTTTTCATATATGGCGTTGGACTATTATTTTTGTTTATTATTATTTATTCATTAAATAAATAGAATTAATGACATAATATTTGAAAAAACTGTATTAATTTCAAGTATCATCCACTACAAAATTTAAAAATATATATTTGAATTTGAGTAGATGAATAAAAATAAATAAAGTGGATGTATAAAACTTGAGTGGATGAATAATATAATTTGATTGAAAATTTGAACAAAATTATATTATATATATATATCTTGGAATAATTACATTTGAGGTTAAGGCAATTCAACAGCAATTTTTTTAGAAACATCAACAAAAATTATCAAAATCTATTGCATAAATAGAGAGAAACTGTTATGTAAATTTTTATTACTACATCAGGATAAAGATATTGAAACTGCACTACTTCAACAAAATGTTGAAATTAGTTTACTTTTTAATCAATACAAAATATTGCAGCTTTAACAATTTCCACAGATTACATGGTTAATTTCTTAGTTGTACACAATTGCTTGTTATTAAATAATTATTCACATGTTAGTACAATTTGCATTAAAAAAACAACTTTATTTTTATGTTTTCCCTTCAATCTGCTACCTTAATTTGAAGGGGGGAAATCACAACAAAATCTATCAAAAGCTGTGAATAATAAATATGGAGAAATTCAAAAGAATGATAATTTCACATAAATATATATATACAATAATAATAAAAGAATTCCCCACAAACAACTTACCTATCAAATGAATATATACAAAAAAACCCCACTTTCAATATAGAATAGAAGCTATATACCAGGGGTACTCAACCTTTTTTTTGCTGGGCAGCATACATATGTCAGCTATTTCCAGTGGGCCGCAACACGAGGATAAATGGGAGGGGAGGGGGAGATGCTTTAAGACCAAGATAATATTGGAAATTTAAAATGTGGAAAATCGATCAGAATATTATAACTACTATGTTTTGCTTTTTTAAATTATTATTATTTTTATTTTTGTCACTAACACTAAATTAGAAGTGCGTTTAAGAAACACTCCTTCACAACTTCGTCAGTAAACGATTTCATATGATTACCAATAATAAACAAGCTTCATAGGATGTCTTTGTTACAGCTGTGACATTACCACTGACAAAACACTTTGTTGCTGTTGCAAAGATTATTCAAGAAAGCCTATTTATCATCTCTTGAAAGAGATCTTCGAGGAAAAGTGTTATTGAATGATTCCTGTTGATTGGTATTTTTTAAACACAGCACTTACATGACAAATCAAACAATTACTGATCAATGATTGTTTTTTAATACAAAATAGTCAACCTCTCAATCGTCATGAAACGATATATATTTTCTTCGAATATTTTTCGCTTGTAAGATATGATAGATAAGTTAAAAATTAGTTCCACCCATACAAAACTATCATCACTCCTCTGTTGTCTGTTATCACTAACCATTACCGTTACAAAAAAAAAATATATCAATTTGCACCTGTACATCATCGACAGCAATATTGATAAATTTGGTTTCTTGACAACAAATTTCCCACCAAATTTTTAATACACTGGTCTTAAATAAATAAATTTCTCAGAGCATTGGGCCATGACCGGGCCACTTAAAAATACTTGGTAGGCCACATGCGGCCCGTGGGTCACAGGTTGAGTATTTCTGCTACATACAATTATAAGCAAAATGAGTATCATAACATTAGAAATTTGATATGAAACAAGAAAAAAAAATTTTTTTAATATGAATTGCAGGATTTCACTACCTATAAAATAAATCTTTGTGGGGAAAAAAAATATTGTCAAAACAATTTCATTGAAATCCTACAATTTTAGTCAAATTATTCGGGCAATAAATGCTTACAAAGCTTTTAAAGAATTATGTCTTCTGGGTAAATTATTTATTTATTGTACACATCTTACCATAATAAGTTGAATAACATCTTTGCGCATCTCAACTGCCATCTGGTGGACATCATGATCAGAACTGTTGTACATAATAGCATTTTGGAACATAAGTAATATGTCTCTGTGGAATTCATCCGTAGTTGTTATAACACCATTATCAATGTTTCTTTTTATCAAAGACAAGTCAATTGGTCTGCAATGAAATCAAAGGTTTTCATTATTATTATTATTATTATTCAATGCTAAAAATCAAAATACCATAAAATCTGGTTTATAATGTACATCTATACTTTCCAGCTGAAATTTTTAGGTATATTCACCATTTAACCCCTATTTTTACAAAAAAAAAAACCCCCTGAAATGTAGTGCTCAATACTCTTATGTTTTGAAGTCATTTATTCAAGGTATTATTTCAAGCTTTAGAAAAAATAATATAGTGCTAGAACTACAACCCTTTTTAAGTTCACAAGGAATGCCATTTCTTTTAAAATAACAATATTTCAATCTAAGTAAAAGTCTAAACTTTTTCTGTGCTCATCTTTTCTTTATTTTTAAAGCTCTCATTTTTATACCCCATGTATAACGTGCATCTGTAAATTTCAATTTTATTTTTTATGTGTGCACATTACGTGCCAGATTTTACAGTAACAGGATAAAAACACAATATGTTGCTATATTATAAATTCTATTCATTTTGCATTTAATTATACACCTACCCTGAAAATTACAGAAAGAAAAATTTAACTTTACCTATAAACAATGTTCAAATATCCTGGAGCAACATCATTAGTTACTTTCTGCAAAAACACACTGGCATATCTAAAGTAAAGAAAAGAGCAGTTATGATAAATAATAAATCAAATCACAAAAAAAATTGGTTCATTGATGTATTATTGGCAATTCAATTTAATCTGATTCTATTTACTTAAAGAATAAAAATAAAATATTTAAATACATGTACAATAGATTTATAAGAGTGCAAAAATTTTACACAGAGAGATGAAAACTATTCTGAAATGTTTAACAATGGTTCACTTCTGAAATATTTTCTCATATAAAATAAAAAAGAACAATGAGTACATTTGGAAAAAATCCAGACAGGACACCAGATGTGTGAAACAAAATGAAAATCTCTCAAGCAAGATATGTTTAAAACATAAGTCATCGTTAACAAAAACAAAATTTACTCTAATCATTTTGCACAGAATTCCCATCTTTCCAACTAGTCGTTTTTATTCTTTTAAGCACAAATGATCGAAATATATATTTCAAAATTAATAATTAAAAAGATCTTGGAAGATGACATAAGAATTTAAAGTTCCCATTTCTGTAACAAATGTCATGTAGTCTTAGAAGTCAACTAAAATTACATACATATCAAAATTCATGCTCTATGAAAACCAGCAATCTTCTCAAAATTAATTTTGAATTTTTTTTTATCCATTTAATGATGTATAATAATTTAATTGCTAAGTTATATTAATTCATAATCACTTCTTGGCGGTTTTCTTTCCACCCCTAATTTTTTGAAAACATGGAAATATTTTAAAAAATACATCTTACTGGTGGATATTCTAAGCAATCCAATTTAAAAAAAAAAGCAAGTTTTCTCATTCAAATACTTTATATCAAAGAAACCCTACATATGATTTTACCGAAATTGCAACAAGAAGTTTACATACAACTGTATTAATAAGATTTTTTAAACCTTATTCATATAGAAATTTATTAGTTGTGTAGGAAAGGATCTAATATACCTGTGAATATATTTTTATTGTATAAACAATGAAAATCGTTTAACATGAGGAGACTGAAATATTTTTTCGTGTTAAAGGATATAAATAAAAAAAAAACATATATTCAACAAAAGTACGTTTACTAGAATACATATTATTTACATAGATGTGTATGTATGCATTTGTTTAATAAAAATCAATGAAACAAAAACATTCCCCAAGAACTTGATGAAATTTAATATAAAATCTTCAAGTTTTTTGAAAAACAAAACATTTATTGAGTTTTTGGAAAATAATCAGATATTTTTCTTTGCATTGTCTTTTTTAGCATTAAATTCGTAGATATCGTCCATTCTTTTTACTCATTTCACCATTGGAATGTGAGTCTGAATAATTGTGCATACTTTTCATGACGTTCCTCATTTCGGATCATGTGGGAATATGAACTGCATTATTCATTTCATTTTTATTGCCAGAACCTTAATCAATGATATTTTTTGAGCTCTGAACAAACTCCAAAATGTTTTGTCTGCTATAATAGGGACTGTATACACACATTACCATCATTTACTGCAACAAACTCTTCTGATGCTACAGTAGGACAGTTTAATAATACAGAAATTTTCCCAAGCACCTCTCTTAAATCTGGTATTTTCTGTATTTTGTTCATTTTGAGAAGGGAAATCTTTTTGTGTTAAAAGAGGTTTTGGTTTTATGTTAAGAGAAAAAAAATGCATGAAAATACATGGTAATTAAACGAGACTTATATTATTTCGTCTTAAGCGTTTTTGTGTTAAACATTTCACTGTATTTCAAAATCACCACATAACACTAGGATCACAGAGTCAACTTGTTAGTGGTCTGGCTGTGTGAAGATTAAAAATACTTTTCTCACAGTTTACACTTTCTGACATACAATCTAAAACATCTTATCCAATTATGAATTTTAACATTTTGCATGGCCAACCAAGGGCCCTCGGAGTGCTTCTTTGTTGACATTCTGGTAATGGTGTTATATTTTCATATATATATATAATCAAGATTTTTAACATCAATGAATTCCCTGTGAATACAACCTTTAAAATTCTTTCTTTATGTATATAAATCTATGATATTTTAAAAACTTTAAATAGGTTAAATTCTTATTTATTCATTCTTAAGTTTTTGCTTATTGTACATGATCATTCTTTAGATTTTCTTCCCTGTTAGGTTTTCTTTTCTCTATTTTTGAATTTTTCTTTATTATCTGCTGAGTACAATAGAGGAATGTTGGTATTACAAAACTAGTTTAATCCCAATTATTCTGTCCTAAGTCCGAAATTGTATTTTGACTTACTAGGCTCCAGTT